CGGGACCGTGGCTGCTCTGCCGAAATTTATAAATAACTCCCACGAATTGCGGACTGAACTGTTTACTTGCTTTTTGCTCCCCGCCTGTGTCTCTCGCCCTGCTGCTGACAGTAAGCACTCAGAGAGAAACTCGCCCTGCCTTGAGGAGCAGCATCCCTGGGAAGCTGGCAGTGCTGTGCCGAGCATCTCTGGGTGACCGAAATGCCTGGTCCCTTTAGCTCTGTACAGTAAAGGGACCTGAGGAGCTGCTGAGCAAGCTGGGGTGGTTTAGACTGGGGAAGAGGAGGCTCAGGGGAGACCTTATCTCTCTCTCCAGCTGCCTGAAAAAGGCTTATAGCCCGGGTCGGTCTCCTGGGTAGTAAAGGATAGGACGAGAGGAAATGGCCTCAAGTTGTGCTAGAGGAAATTTAGGTTGGGCATTAGGAGGAATTTCTTCACGGAAAGGGTGGTTAGTGGAATGGACCTCAGAGGGATGTGGTGGAATCACCGTCCCTGGAGGTGTTTATGGAAAGGCTGGATGTGGCACTCAGTGCCATGGTCCCTTTGGTGTGTTTGGTCAAGGGTTAGAATCAATATCAGAGGTCTTTTCCAACCTCCTTGTTTCTGTAACTGGCATTTGTGCAGGGGGTTAGGTCACAGCTGGTCTGTCACCAGGGGCTTTCTGATTTTGGCTTTGTGAGGGGAAGAAATTTTGAGTACTTGGCCAGTGGTAGGAAACTGAGCACTCCCCCAGTTCTTACCAAGGTAGCGGTGGCAGAGATGAGGCTTCTGTGGAGTCCCATGGCTGCACTGCCTGCGTGCAAGCTACTGTTGCTGAGGTATTTGCAAATGTGTTGTTCTGCTTGTCAAAACCTACTGAGTATATTTGGGTTTGGTTATCTTTTTTTTTTTTTAAGAGTCCAAAGGAGAGTTACTAGCTTTTGCAGGAAAAAGGCATGAAGAGTTTAAACACATGCTGGCAATACTGCAGATAGAATTTCTTCGTGTTTAGTTTTTAGGTCAATACTGATCTCAGTGTTTATGGAAATATACTTACCCTTTTTTGGTTTAGGAGGTGTACTCCAGAAGGCTTTTTAATGTGATAGCCTGTTGTGAAACTTAACTTTTTTTTTATTATTTTTTCCAAGGCTAGGAAAATGTGTTTTTTGAGTGCATGAAACATTTATCTCTTTATTTTTATTTTTTTTCCCTATACCAGTATTGCCCTAGTAAAGAGAAGAAGAAAGTGAGGAACCAAGATCATGTTTATTAAAATGCTATCAGGTGCCATTTCTGAAATCAGTTTAAATAATAAAAAAATAAATGATGAATTGTGTTGGTTTAATGATATTGTTCCAAGACAGATCTTACTGGCAAAGTTGTTATCACGCGTGAGTATTTTTAGGTACAGTACTTCAGTGAGAACTGGAGGAGGAAAGGGGAAGTGAAGTTAGATAATTTTAGCAGTGCTGTAAAACCTCATGTTCAGGCTCATGGCAGATTTCTTTCTTCTTGAATGCTGTGAATTTCATATATTCCTTGTTCTCTGTCAGGCTCTTTTGAATATGGTGAAGCAAAGAGTAGCTAGGGCAATTGGCAGCTTCTGCCAGTGAGTACTTCAGGAGAGTTGGAGGTACCAGGAACCTGTTGTCCATAGCCAGACCATGCTGCAGCCAAGCCCAGGGACCGGTGCCTGTCTGTGCTGCGCTGTGGCAGGGACATTGTGTTGCTCTAGGTTTGGTTTTATCTGGAAGATGACCATAGCTGTGCTCAGGCATGAGGACTGCAGCATCAGGGCTGCCCAGTGGTCCATAAAACATCCCCAGCTGTTCCACAGTGCTCATGTTAGCAGCACACTGAATTGCCACACATGTGGGAGCACTGTAGAGTGAAGCGCAGGGCTGGTGTGTTCTGAGTGCACAGAGGGAGAAGTCAGTGAATATGGGTGGTGGGGCCACTGCCCCCCACAAGCTGGCTTTCCAATTCCAGTGGAAGTTACAGATGCTGTCTTTCTCTGGCTGGGGTTTAGTGGTGATGAGGAGATGACTGAGCCTCTGGGATGCAGTGTTTGTGCTAACAAGTGTTGCTTTTTTCGTGTTTGGTTCATCGGGGAGGTAGATGGGTTACAGCACTCTTAAGATTGGTTTGGGAGATAATTTCAGGAGTTCATGGGTGCTTTGTGGCTGCAGGTCAGGGCAGTGGCAGCTGTGTTAGTATGTACTAGGAAAGGAAACAGTAAAGGCAGGATGATGGGTAACTTCAGATCTACCACTCACAATTTGAGTTCTACTGCTCTGGGAGGTTTAGTGTCCATTTTGGGTTCCTGCATGTCCTTGGGTTCTTTGGGGTCCTTTGTTCAGTAAGTGAGCTATTGTGGTATGAACTTACAGAGCTGTTTTCTTGTAAGCTACATTTGCTGGTGTAGTTTTGTCTCTACCTTGAGTTGCCCTGCCAGGTATGGTATGGAAGAAAGAGGGGCTTATTTCAGCTGTGTGGCTCTATTGCATGTAAGATGCAAATAAAATAATTGTGCCTGGGGGAGAGCAGATAGAAGTATCAGAAATGGCAAATACTACATTTCGGCGAGTTGATTAGCAAGTGAGGGAGTATCCTCCTTGGCTGGATAGAAAGTGCCATAAGAACTTAAGAGAGAAGGTAGTAGTCATTTCTTAATTCTTAATTAATCATCACATATGTCTGCAGAAAGAGAAATAGTAGACTGTTGAGAAACAAGGCATCTCTGCAGTCTAATTTTAATATTTTAGTTTTTTGTGTTCTTGTGTGCAAGAGGTAGCAAAGTACATGGAGTCAGAGTGGTTGCCTGCCTTTATAGCCCTGCCTTATGCATATCCACATGTGGACATCTGACAATACAGAAGCTGAATGTTTTTAAATGTCATGACTGCTGTGTTCCTGGTATTGTAGCAGCACTAGAGCTAGCAGTAAAAAATGGGGGGGATGGAGGAGAGTAAGTCTTTGCCAGAACTTGCTTCTGTGAGAATTTGAATTTTTTTCATGTAAAGTGGGGAATAAAATGAACTCTTAGGTTTTGTGAGTTTGTTGGTTGTATTGAAAGGATTTCATTATCAGCTTATAGAAATTAGACCTCTGCAGTGAGCATGACTAGTTATTGCTGCTTCAGAATTTATTATTGTATGACATTCAGGTTGTTTTTGTTGTTGTCATTTGTTTTGTTTTGCTTTAATTTGTTTGCGGGGGAGGCTGTTTTTGTTGTTTGGGTTTTTGGTTTTTTTTGAGAGTAGAGATGTCTGTGCTGAGTAATTTGGCTTTTTAGGGCAGACAGATTTTCTTTAAAATCATCAAAGGACTATTCCATTTTTGTAGTTTGGTAGGGGTGCAGTTGAGATTTTGCTTTCTTCTCTTACTTCTGTTGTTCTGTCTTTTTCTCCTCATCTTCCTTAATCTTTTTCCTATGTCATTCTTTCCTAAGTTACAAATCAGTTATTGATATTCTGCAGCATTTTGGGGTTCAGGGGACATTGGAAAACACCCATGCCCTCTGCAGGACTGCTGGAGAGGCTCACTGGGTGTGGGGAGGTGTGTTGTTGGTTAGCTTTTTCTAGGCACGTATCTTTTACATTCAAGACAATAGGTCTGTTTTCTTTTATGAAAGTATTTGGATCCTAAAACTAATTTTCCTAACAATAAAAAAGGGATGAGACTGTGGATGCATAGCTTGTTTTGGAGATATTTATTGTGGGATAGAAAAAAGTGATAACTTGGTTTTCTTCCAAGAAATCCATGTTTCATTCACAATCCAGCCACAAACCCTGGAAACCAAAGTTGGTTCTCGGCCAAATTCAGCCCCAAATAGTCCTGTTTTTTCACTTAACCTACTTGAGGACACCAGTGCTAACAGGAAACAGTTGAGAGAGGAAATCTGGTTCTGTTTTTCAAGGGCCAGGAAGTGGGCATTTGAATAGATTGTCTGAGGAATGTCTTCATGTAGAGAAGATGAAATTCAGCTGATTCTGAACTTGTCCTGACTCTTCCTAATGTTCATGTTTAGGATGTTTGAAGCTAGGTCATGTGTTTGGATTCTCTTAGGATTAAGAGCTAGGAACATCAACTTGTAATAGAAATGTAAGTAGTGTTAAGTGTTGAAACATGGTGCATCTTCTAGTACTTATGTACTGTTTCTATTTTCCTATGGCCCCTTCTCTTTTTAAATTCAGCCTTAAGGTTTGCAGCTGACAGAAGAATTGATGATGCCTTTACAAAGTAACTTTTTGTTTTCAGGAAAGAAAAAAAAAAGTGGTGTGAACTAGGTCACGTTTGATGACTAAACGTCCTCAGGTTAACCACGGAGTGCATTAGAAGTCACAGGTTGTGTATTTGTTACCCTGTGGTGTCTTTGGTGTGGTCTTTCAAATCAACTTAAGAGATGTTTCTGTTTGAAAGTGAGTAATAGGGATTTAATTTAAATGGTGTTTCATAACGACACAATCATGCAGAACAAGTGCCTAGGGGCATGAAAACTGTTGAGATGCAAATCAAGCAGGGTTTTGCCAAGTGTCTCTGAACTTGTCTTCACCTTCCCAGCTTTCTTGCACTGTGAGTATCCTGTATTTTTATTATAACTTAAAGATAAAGCTCGCTTGTAATAGGCACACTTGCAAAAAGTATTGAGAATTTTGTATAGCACAGAGGGGAAAAAATGCAAATCAGTTTGTGTTTTAATGTCTTCTGTTATGCCTTGCTGAGAAGTTCATGTCTCAGGACACTGGGGAGAAAAGGCTGTATCTAACATATGGCCCAGACTAACTTTTCCCTCTTCTCCATCTATTTGTGTCTCGCAAAGTCTAATGAAACAGTGATGTAGCTTGAATATTCATTTCAGTGATGAGGAACAGGAGGGACAGGATTTCCAAAAGCTAATAAAGAACCTTGTGGTTTTCCTTTAGCTCCTAGACAGGTGTGTGGGAGAGATTTGCTGTGTATCATTTTCTTCTCTTTTGGCTCTTGGGTGGCAGGCATATTTAATTATTTCTAATTGAAAATTGGGCACTTTTGTTTCAGTCTTCCTTTTTCTTTCAGGTGTTATTTTTGCACCTTATGGCCCTGTCTGGAAGCAGCAGAGGAAATTCTCTCTGTCAACCCTGCGTCATTTTGGAGTAGGGAGACACAGCTTAGAGCCTAAAATCATTGAGGAGCTGAACTTTATAAAGGAGGAAATGCTGAAGCATGGAAAGGAGTCATTTAATCCCTTCCCAATCATTCGCAACGCAGTGTCCAATGTTATCTGTTCCATGGCCTTTGGCAAGCGTTTTAACTACGAAGATGATGAGTTCAAGACGATGCTGAAGAACATGGCCCGCGCCCTGGAGCTGAGCGTGAACAGCTACATGATCCTGGTCAACATCTGCCCATGGCTCTACTACCTGCCCTTTGGGCCTTTCCGGGAACTGCGGCAAACTGAGTTAGACATTACTGCTTTCCTGAAGAGAATAATTGCCCAGCACAGGGATACACTGGATGCAGCAAATCCCAGGGACTTCATTGATATGTACTTCATCCACGCGGAAGAAGAGAAGAACAACAAGGAGAGCAGTTTCAATGACGATTACCTGTTTTTTATCATTGGTGATCTCTTCATCGCAGGCACAGATACTACTTCCAACACATTGCTGTGGTGCCTGCTCTACATGTCTCTTTACCCTGAAGTACAAGGTAAGATTGCTTTTATTCTAGCTGATTTATTCCAGACTGTAAAGCTCCAGATGGATGCTCAGAAACAGAAGCCAGCAGCGACAGTGAAAAAATCATTTGGAGTGCCAGTGGTTTGTGTTGTATGTGTGATTTGAAAGGCTGGTATGTAATCAGGCATTGTCTATCCTGCTGTTTGGTGATGATTTCTGGGTTAGTGCTATATATATAAAGTGCTAAATGGCCCTTTGATCCGTGAATTTCTTCTGGTTTGGGACACCTTTATTTTCCCCAAGCGATTCCAGAGAACTTTAGCATGTTTGAAAAACTTGGGCAGTTGTGACATTCCAGGCATATAGTAGTGATATGAGATGTGTGAAGACCATAGTGCTAAGGTCTGCTTTTATGGCTCTCTGAGCAGGGAGGTTCTTGAGCCCGGGAACAGAGTCTGGGGAAGTGAAACACTACCAACTGTAGAGGAAGATCAAATCAGAGACAGCTTAAGCAAGCTGGACTTTCACAAATGCACAGCACCAGCTGCCTATGTCATTAGAGGGCCTCTCCTCATCAGTCTTGACTGCTCTTGGCAGTCGGGTGAGTTGCTGATGGTCAGGGGTAGGGGGAACAAAACCAGAGGCAGAACAAATTGGTCTTGTTCAGTGTTAAGGAAGGAGACTGAGGGGAAACCTTATGCTCTACAGCTATCTGATCAAAAGGTGCTAAGAAGATGGAGGTGTGCAGTGGAAGGAAAGGAAGCAGTGGAAACAACCTACAGCAATAAAATTCTGATCAGATGCTAGAAAAAGAAATTGCCCTGTGAACATGGCAAAAAAGTGACATGGATTGCCAGAGTTAACAGAATGTCTGGGTTTGGAATTTTTCAAAACTAAGTGGGTCATGACCGGTAGTAGTCTCATCTACCCTGAGTTGGATCTGTTTGGAAAAATCTCTTTAAATAGGTCAGGATCATAGCTTATTGCACAAAGTCAACCAAACTGTTGACCAAAGATTGCAAAATAGGGCACCAGTTCAGTACATGGGGGAGAGAGTTCACTGGAGACAAATCTAAAGTAAACCTTTATTGCATAGGTTTATTCTTCTGTTTTTAATTTCGTGTGTTATCACTGCTTGACTTGATATGCAATTACATGGATTAGATATATTCTTAATTACACAAATGGAATCTAGAAGAGTTTTGTGTTTGGTTTTTTAACCTCTTTTCCTTCTGCCTGGTACTGTATGTGTATATGCTAGTCAATTTTCACTTTACTGCTGATCTCTAACAGTTTTATTACCTCTCTCTGATTCCCCCTTACACTGTGGCTCTTGTCAAGTAATCTAAATATGCTCAGTAGTCCAGACTGTATCTGGATTTTAGTATCTCATTCCTTATATCCTGATTGCCTTGGAGTTATGTATGGGCCTCTTTTTTTTTTTATTCCTGGTAATATGTTTCTCTTCAATGTATTTCCTCCCTAGAGAAAGTACCTGAATTGTATATCTTTTAGAAGTAGCAAAAGTTACTTGCAGGCATGGAAAGGCAAACTGAGGGCTATCAGAGGAAGAAAGAGTACTTTTCTCCTTAGAAAATGGTTTTGCTTTTTACAGGGAAATAGAGAATGTTGTGGATGGGCAAGATGGTGAAGCCATGGGGATTATTTGGTTTGTTCTGTTCCCTGACTTTGTTTCGGTCCTTGACTTCTGAAGATCTGTGAGATTTTTAAATATATGAAAAGTAGTGGAGCTCTTCAAATAACATGCAGAGACTGCTGAAATTTACATTTTGCAGCTGGTAATGTGAGCAGCAGTTTGGCTGCTCTCTGTATAGTTCCTCATGTTTTTAGAATGAATAAATGAGTTGTTCACAATAAAGCATTAGTGTGATGTTTGGTATGAGACAGTCTCCTTAATTTGTAATTTTTTTTCTTTATATATTGAAAACTTTATGTGGTAAGATTACTGTAGACATGCATGCCTGGATATAGGGCTATGATATGTCCATAGTAAAAGTAGCAAAGCTCCACAAAGAAGGTCCTGGAGAGCCCCGCTGTCAGCACATCTGCTGTACTTTTTGTGTTCTTTAATGCTCCTCATGCATGAGTTTTTCTTCTGGGACAAACCCAGTAGGTGGCAGCAGCCGCTCGTTACACACAATTCAAGCAGCACTTTGGGTTGCTGCTCGGGAAACTGGGACCGTTTTTTTGCATTGAACTTTTTCTTGTATCACTGCTAAGGAGAGAAAAGAGCAAAAAGTCATTCTGTCAGCATCCTGGTTGGAAAAGGCAAGCAGGACAACCACGAAGCACGCAGGATATAAAGGGTAAAAAATGAAAACTGGTTTTTATTATTTTTGAAAGTTAAAAAGTTTTAAAAGTTAGTTTTGAAGTCTCCTCTTTAAGGATTGTCTTTTGTTGTGTAGCCAGATTGCAAGTTACCTGCAAGAAAAGGCACATCATCCTTTATGTATAAAGCAAATCCTGAATCTTAGAAACTTCTATGAAGAGAATTACTTGTATGCTGAGCCTTCAGTGAAATGAAAGGAGCAAACAACTTGATGTTTTTTGCTTCCCATGAATGAGAAAGTAGATAATACCATGACCTTTTTTCTCTTTTTCTCTTTTTTTCAATTTTTTTTTCTTTGCAGAAGGGCTGTGTGGGAAAGGAGCATCTGCTTTTGCCTTTGGGGGAAATGGGAAATAGCTGGGTTTAGGTTCTGGGAATAGAAAGTCGGAAATGGCAAGAACGAATTAAATGGCTTCAATGCTTGCAGTAACAGCTCCAGAATTCCTGCTCCAGAATGAAGTATCTAAAGCAGCTGCATGAAAAGCTTTCCCATTTTCATGCTCAGGCACACACTACACGCAGTTCTCTTACCGTTCAAGTTTTTAATAGCAGAGCAGAAGCTTGATGTTTTCATCATTCAAATTACCGTGTAATTAAACTCCTAAAGTAAGATTATGGATATGTTTGGAGTAGCAACAGGAATTCTGTACTTTTCCAGTACTGAAGTGCTAGCAATGTCTGTCATCTTTACTCTTCAGTAGCTTTACTCTTGACTGTTGTCAAGATTGTGCTTGGTCATTTTCTTCTTAGCTGAGTCTGTTCCTTAGGCTAATGTTGGCATACCTGTTTCAGCTAGGAATCACATCTTGAAGTGATTTTTGAGAAATCTATGTAAACAGTGAAGCAAGCCCTATCAGATAAAATTTAAATTATGTCTTCTCACATATTATTTCTCTTGCTCTCTTGTAATAGAGAAAGTTCATGCAGAAATCGAAGCAGTTCTAGGACGTGACAAAGTTCCCTCTCTTGCTTACAAGGCTCAGATGCCCTTCACAGAGGCAACCATTATGGAAGTGCAGAGGATGACTGCGGTCGTTCCCCTTTCTATTCCTCGAATGGCCTCAGAAACAGCTGGTAAGCATTTCTAGAGACTTGTTACTACAGCTTTCCTCTGGGGCTGGAGATCTGATGGGACATCTAGTGATAATTTAAAAAGACCTCACTTACTCATTTACAAAGACCTGTAAAACAAATATATAAAATGTCCTTTACAGGGAGCAGGAGGCCTTGACATAGTTCTCTATGTAAGCAGCATGTCTGGCCTGACGTCCAGCAGTTTTTCTAATCTCAAGTGATTTCCTCTCTGTACAATTCCTCAACACAGCTTATATTGACTAATGTGCTTAGTCAGAGTTGTCAGCTGAGACTCCACCTTCATACCTGAAACAGCAGAGCTGGTCTTGGCATTCTGAAACAGAGGTCTGAAAACATCAGTTCAGAGTAATTTGTTGGCTAAAGGCTTATACTATAGACTTCCACAAGTACAGAAAACATTCAAAAATATCCGCTTCCAATTCATCTAAGTGTTTTTGTAAACATAGCAGAGCACTGGTCCAAGTCAGTGTGAGAGAGCAATACTTGGCTTTTAAACCTGTTATTGAACTGATCTGTCTTTTTAAATGTTCTGATTTGCAGGAGAGTGAGGTGCAACAAGCTAAAATGAGACTAGTCATTTCAAAATCCTCATGTCACAACAGTTCAAAATCCATCCTTTGACTGTGGTGGGGCTCTGTGACAGTACAGGAGCAGGAGGAAAGTGGGTTACAGCATTTGGGGTGCTGCAGACTGCATTTCTGACAATTGCTGCTTCCTTCTCTTTGTAGAAGTTGTTGGTGTAGATTGGTGTCTTTCCAGCTGCTCAGGCTTATGGGATTCTGACTCAAGCAGGGTAGCTGAGATCACCTTTGCCTTCAGCTTTTGCTACATTTGCAGCCCACAGCTAGGGATTGATATAATTTTTTGTGACATTATCTTGTTGTCTTTTTACTGGTGTTTTTCCCATGTTTCCTTCTAGCAACTTACCACATCTCTGTCTCTGTTTTTGTTTAAAGTGCTTCAGGGATATACTATTCCTAAGGGTAGTGTGATTGTGCCCAACCTGTGGTCAGTACACAGAGATCCTAACATTTGGGAGAAGCCAGATGAATTTCAACCATCAAGATTTCTGGATGAAAATGGCCATCTAATAAAGAAAGAGTCATTCATTCCTTTTGGAATGGGTAAGATAATCCACATGGAGTCATTAGCTGGATGGGTGGGTGGTGGTGTTTCAAGTGTAGGGCCTTGGAGGAGAGAGATGTAAAAGCTGCACATAGGACCAATTATAGAAGTAGATTTACTGTCACAGCAAAATGCTGCAAAATGGTTTGGGTTCCTAAATAGGCAGTCACCAGACAGAAATTATGAATTGTCCTTTGATACTACTTCTGCTGTGGATGTAAATATTGTTTATATGAACTCGTACAGCTGAGCAAGGCTTAGACTAAAATACAGGAGGCCAGAACTTCAGAGTTCATAGCTTAGTAGTAGCTTGAGCCTTTTTGGACTATGGTAGTGCAGGAATTATGTGTGTGCTAACAAATAGGTCAACTGTATAAAGCCAGTAATACCTCTCTTCTAACTGTTCTTTAGGTAAACGTGTGTGCATGGGAGAGCAGTTGGCAAAAATGGAGCTGTTCTTGATTTTTTCAAGTCTTATGCAAAGTTTTACCTTTATGTACCCTGAAAATGCTGCAAAACCATCCATGGAGGGAAGGTTTGGTCTAACTTTAGCTCCATGTCCATTCAACATAATAGCTTTGAAGAAGTGATACAGTGTCAAAAAAAAAAAGATTAAGTAAAGAAATACTGCACTTTTAAAATACAGCTTTTTTATTACTATTATTATTTTCAGCTTATTTTGTTACTTCCTTTCCAGAATAAAAAAACAACAACCCAATTGTGTAGGCTTTCCTAGTCAGTGAGAGTGATCCATTTAGACTTCTGGAAAGAGATTTTTTTCTCCATTGTTGCATTCCACAAATGAACTGACAGCATAGTTTTTAATTTGATATGAAAACTTGGTGAGCTTAACCTCTGTCTATTACTGTCAGTTAGTCAAATGTTGATTATGGGAGAATGGTCCAAAACATTTGTTACTGTTCTTGCAAATGGTAATTGTAAAAAATCGTGACAGCAGCACAAAAACATTTCATTTACCAAAGGAGTGAAGCACGTCATGTAATATTAGAAGTATTAATGAATGAGAGATTGTTAGCATTTTCTGTGAAAAAAAAGATTGTAACTGAGCTTAAATAAGTATGTATATTTTTTGGAAATTACCAAATGACATTACTTTTAACCTTGGAGGATTCTTTTTTGCAAGTAATTTACAGGTGTAGTAGATTGGATCCAAAAATCCTTGAGATTCAGGGCTCACTATAAAAGAGCAGGTACCAAGTCTTAAAAACCACAGTTTGAGGCCAAATGAATCCTTGAATATGCCATATTCTCAACATGAAATGAATCTGCAGCATCTGGATGCAGAATGTTTTCTCTCAGAATACGAACGAGAGCGGAATTCTCTAACAAGAAACATCAGATGCTTTTCTTTCTGGTGCCAAACATATTCAAGACATCTGTGCTGCCTCTTGGCATTAATTGTTTCCCTCATGGCAGCAGTGGCTGCAGGCTGGAAGGGACCAGTGGCTGCTCACCGGGGAAGACACTACGTGTGTAGTCCTGAAGTCGAGGTTGGCACTCAGGTTTTTCATCCACAGGCAGTGTGGACAGTACTGCCGCAGCCTCTGGCTTTGGGAACTGGAGTCTTCAAAGATGGTATCACTGCAGCAGTACAGGTGAAGGCCTTATACATTTACCATGCAACAGGAGGAAGCTGACAAACTTGAGGTTTGAATATAATGACTCTCTCTTTGTTATCTTTCATACAGAGTAAATATCTGTAGTTCATACAGTATTAGTGTATCAGTATGCTGAATCTTAGTGCTGTTAACCACTGTCAAAGCAGCTGCCAAGGAAACCTCATGTTAGTTGTTTCAGAGCAGGGCACTCGGTCTTGCCGTGTATTTCAAACATTGAAAGTGACCTTTGGGGAAGTATGTAACAACTAACCTTTAAATAGGTGTTCCTAATCATTCTTAAATCGCTTTGCACTTCTTTTGATCTATCAGAATTTCATATCACATTAAGTTCTTATATACTCTTCTAAAGATGTTTTTTTCCCCCCTCACTGGATATCTAGAGAATACCCAGAGCTCTCCCAATGTGTAATCTCCTAACTGAATGTAATTTAGAATTGGGTATTCCATAGCAGAAACAAAACGTAAATTGTAAAAGAAGAGATAACTTTTCAGTTTTAAATTCATGTCTGGTTTTGTCACTTTTAACCTTGAAATTGTAAAAGCCAGGTAGTGCCTAACGAAGACTGTAAGATAGTTATTTTGCATTTAAATTAAGGTTTTCTGTTACCTGTTTTGAATAACAGAGTGCCTTAATTTCTGAATTGTGTATTTATTTGGTCAAGTATGCCACTGTTTGTGTGTGAACTTTCAATTCTTAATTAGGTTAACTTTGAACTATACAGTCTTGTGGGTTTGGGGGTTTTTTTTTGTATGAAGTTTTTGAAAACTTAGCACAATAAAAAGTTGAGTTTGGTACCAATGCCAGCGAATTTGCTCTAAAACCTGACAGTACTGAAGAATTAAGCACTTTATTTAATTTAATTTTTTATTTTCCAATGTATAAATAGATTCTGTAGAATTGGGATTTTTGTCTGGAAATCCTAAAATTATGCTTGAGAAGCTAAAATTAAGTGCTGATAATATTTATCTTTCTGTTTAAATGCCTCTTTAATCAACATAATGATGTTGGTGTGCAACTGATCACTTGTACAAAATACATGTCCTTTTAATCAGTGAGGACACATTTGAAAAGCACTTTACTATCTTTTTTACAGATTCCAAAGAAAATGCAATTCACACAATCCCCTGGTATGTGAAACTGTACATATTTGTGCTTGTTTTGCCTGCTGAGTTTAGTTTAAAATGTCACCTTTGAAAACTATCCTTTGAAAATAATCCTTCTATAAATACTACTTTGAGAATGTGTTTTTTGGTGATACCTGTAATCAAATACTGCAATGTGTGACAAGCTAAAATTACTGATGAGAAGTTCCAATCACATCAAGGCGTGCTAGAATACAGGACGCTGTTGAAATGACAATAAAGACCTGCCTTTTGTACCTTCCAGGTGCACTGAAATTTTCACAGGATAGCATGAAAATAGCTAAACAATAGCATAAAAGCAACAAAATCTCTGTGGTTTTCAAAGTGTATTGCCATCTTAGGCGAACTGTAAGGAGTGGTAGCAGATTTCATTTGTGTTTGTAAATGTGTATCTTCCCCCTCTCTTTTTTTAGCAGAGGAAGCATCTCAAATGCCTTGTTGAAAAATGTATGTTGATATAAGTGGGTGTCTGTTTCTGAATGCTGAAAATATCTTTATTTCTAAAATTAATTAGCTTCATTGTGGTTTTTATTTTGAATAAAGTAATTCCCAAGGAACTGTTTCACAGCTTTGCATAGTCATTTCAATGAGTTCCGCTTACTGACTAAACTTGTGGTGTTTGGCATCTTACATCTTGCAGAAAAAAATCCTGAGTGAGAGAATGTAAAAAATGCTTTGGATGATGAGTGAAGGAGGTGGGGAAACAAAGTGAAACTGGGAAAATAACATTGCCAGGCATGTTATGACCAAATGATAGAAAGAGTATGTTTTAAAAACACTGTTACTTAGAATAAAAGAAGAGGGAAGTGTAGGGATGGGGGAGATAAAAGAGCAAATGAATTGTCAGCAGGAGGAGAGGTGCAGTCTGCAGGAAAGAAAACCTGGGCAGAAGCTGAGGTCTATTTTTTTTTTGTACTTCTGGTATCGAGGGATGCAGAGGGCAGAGAGGGAAATGGGTGCCGAGGGGGAGCCTGGGGGAGAGAGCAAAGAGCCCCCAAGGGGTTTCAGGGGAAAGCAGGAGATCCCTCTGGAAGGGGTGGGGGGCTGAGCAGGAGCCAACTGAAGTGTTTGTGAGGAAGGGGGAAGGGGTGGGTATCAGCACTGGTATTAACTAGGAGCTGGACACTCAGGAACAACAGCTGTAGGTGGAAATCTTGTGTCTTATACCCTGGAGTTAGGTTGCAGGTTACTTGGCATACTGCTATTTTTTTTTATTTTTTTTTTTTCAAGGGAAATTAATTACCACTGTCATTTGTATACCCAAAGATCATTAAGGGTGAGTCTCTGGGTAAAGCTGTTTCCACAGCCGCTTCCTTGCTCCTGCCTAATCCAGGTGAACTTTTTCAGTAGGTTTGTGGTACAAAGTGCAGAGATACACAAATACAACACGTTTTTTGAATAAAATAAGCTGCTTAATGTTTACCCCAATGCTGACTCAAGTAGTAATTGCTGTGTTGTCAGCTGCTGCTGAAGTGCAGGTCTATCTGGTGATTAATTAGATGAAAAATCAGGGCAGGCTGCATCTGATATGATTCAGCTGTTAGTGTTTATAACCGAAGAAATTTTTTGTTGTGTTTGTTTTATTGTATTTTTTTTTATTCTATATCTTGTGTTAACCTGGAAATAAAGTCCCCTTCTAGTCAGGAAACAGTTGTGGAGGGAGAGCGTCTAATGATGTGCATAGGAAGGACACTGAGGTGCTGGAGCATGTCCAGGGAAGGAGAAAGAACCTGGGGAAGGGTCTGGAGCACGAGTCCTGTGAGGAGCGGCTGAGGGAGGGGCCGGAGGAGAGGAGGCTCAGGGGAGACCTTACTGCTTTCTACAACTTCCTGACAGGAGCGGGTAGCCAGATGGGGGTCGGCCTCTTGTCCCACATAACCAGTGACAGGATGAGAGGACACAGCCTTAAGCTGTACCGGGAGAGGTTCAGGTTGAACTCTGTGTTCACCGAGAGGGGGATTTCACGTTGGAATGGGTCTGCCCGGGGAGGTGGTGGAGTCACCGTCCCTGGAGGTGTTTAACAAAAGACTGGCTGGGCCATATGGTGCCATGGTGGTGTCTGGTCGTGGGTTGGACTGGATGGTCTCGGAGGTCTTTGGAAGCTTCTTGACTCTGTGAGCCTGAGCAGGGGCAGCGCGGTGACCTCAGCGGCGAAGGGCGAGCATCAGCGCCAGCCGGGGGCTTGCGGGCAGTGCTGGCCTTGGCCTTGCTGCTTGGCTCTTAAGGAATCAGAGGTTGCGCAGGTGAAAGACCCAACGCGCCTCTCCCTTGGTCGGGCAGCCGGGACCGGACAGCCTGGACCTTCCCCCGGGGCGGAGCGCGGTCCTCGCCCCGCCCGGCCCGGCCCGGCCCCGCCTG